AAATAAGTATGGGGAGGGGGAGTAAACAGTTTGAGAAATATGTCTGGCTGTCATGATATGAATAACGTGAAAAGCCAGTCGCGTACGTCATCAAACCATTTTCTCTGGACACCTGTGACACACACCCATATTCGCATACCACGAGCCGCGGTATGCGGCTGTGTGCCCCAGGTGACTGATATATATTCAAGAATGATGAGAACAGACATTGGCGACTTAAATACGAGAACGAAGCGCGGCTTTTGTAGAGCATTTTAATACACTCTTGGGGCTACTACAACAAGCATACTTGCATGGTATACCCACTACAGCTTAAATCGTAATTTTTCTGCAGTGCGAATGCGCTCCTTACGCCTTTATTCGTCATTCTACAGAAGAATGTAGTACCCGCTACGCACTTGTAAGGCAGTACATGTACTTTGTTGATGTTGTGGCTGACCACGATGAAGAATTGTGCGTGAGACTTTTGTAATGCGTTAGAGCAGCCAGCGACCAACTCGTTATGCAATTAGCATAGTCTGCTACCCGGTTGTTACTTTACTCTTCTAAAATGCTTTATGCACATGTTAACGCTGTTTCTTACCCGACACGAAGACCGAGTTGGGTCACTTTGCAACGTAGTTTCAAGCAGTGGCGTAGCTCGGTGGTAGAATACTGGGCAGCCACAGAGAGGACCTAGATTTGATTACCATTGTGTCCTCTGAGTTTTTATTCAGTTAGTTTTTTTTTTTTTGCACTATAGTGGTTATGGACACCGGTGGCGGCGGACAACTAAGGTGCCTGAACAGGTTTAGGTTGGGATCTCATAACAGCGTCCGCTATAAAACTTACATCGGCAGCGTAGACCTGACTAAGAATGTATAGAATAAATATCAGGTTTCCACCAGCAATCGTACCCAAGTATTCTCTGTGGCAGTAAAGTATTCTACCACATGGCAGTAAAGTATTCTACCATGCCAGACCTCGGAACTATTTTTGAAAAAACACTCCTTGCAAGTGTAGTGTTGCAGTGCAGGCTTTCTAGTTTAGCTTCGCAATCGTTACATATGTACCCCTACTATACAGACGTCACGTCGGGTTAACGTCAATTGCAGTGAAGTGCTATCAACTGAAGTTGGTCTACGCAGCACTATCCAGGGCTGCCATCCTCGAAAGCACCTAGGCTACATATCAGTTTACCGCTTCTTGGTTCGCTAGTACCCACTTTGCTTTTCGCATCGTTATCAACTGTAAAGCAACTGGTTATACACTGACGACATACAGAAATGGTTCCCATTCCTAAACCGGGGAAAAATCCCGGAAATATCACACAAATGCGTCCGATAGCTCTCACTTCAACATTGGGCAAACTGACAGTGTGTATGCTAGTGACACGCATTACGCAGTGGCTCGAGAGATACTACTGGTGTCATCCTGGCCAAAATGGGTTCCGTCCGCATCTGGTCGCTGAGAATGGCTTTGCCTACCTCTCATCCATGGTTTTCGTTAGAGGTCAATCTCGATGGATTCGCACCACTCTGTCTATGGACATTTGCAAAGCCTTTGATCATGTGAGTCATGATGCTATTGTGGAAAATTTTTCGCTGGCTCTAATTCCCCGGTAGAGTGTGTGCGTTCGCGAAAGCCTTTCTTCCCGATCGCTGCTTCTCCATTCGCCTAGCTGGTCAGCAAGTTTAGCAGTTCGTTTCCAATAGCGGTATTCCACAAGGATCTGTGCTTGCGCCAGTTCTTAGGGGCGAATATTCTTAAGGCGTGGGTCTGTCCATCTCTTTTATGTGCGTACGTAGTAGTACGCAGCCACCGGTGGCACGTACCCACTCTAGAGTGGGTATGTGCCACAGGGGATGCGAGATCGGAGATGGTGGTACTTTAAGTGTTCGCTACATGGACAAGCAGAACGACGGACGGACAGACTAGAAGACGGACGGACGGATGGATAGACGCACATACGTATGAACGGATGGACGCACGAACATACAGACAGACAGACAGACAGACAGACAGACAGACAGACAGACAGACAGACAGACAGACAGACAGACGGACGGACGGACAGACAGACAGACAGACAGACAGACAGAGACAGACAGACAGATAAATCGACGGAATCTAGGACGGACGCATGGACAGACGGACGGACGCATGGGTGGACGCACGGATGGTCGCGCGGATGAACGGAAGCAAGAACGAACGGACGGACAGGAGCACGGGTGGGCTGACGAACACTTCGCCCCACTCATCATCATTCACTCCGCGGATATGCTGTTATTTTTAGATGCGAAGCATTTCTTAGCGAACTTCGGCGACTTTGAGCGTATCTATCTATCTATGTAGCAGCGTACGACTTTTAGCTCTCCTGGCCGTTTCGATAGTGGTATCAATACCAAACTTGGTATGACAGAACATGACTCTATGAAGAACATATTTGACTAGCCATAACGTGAAAATCACGATATGTATGTCATGAATGTCATGATTTACATTTCATGGTCCTGCAGCTCTGAAGGTGGTTTCGTTCACATGGCATGTTGTAAAACTCGTATGGTATGGCATGATTGCACGGCGAACACAAGAGGCAGACCCTAACATGAAAAACATGACATGCGTGTCATGTACCAACATGACTACATGCCACGCTCATGATGCACTCGCGGTCGTTTCGCTAGCGTCACAGATACCAAATTTGTTATTACAGTACGTGAATGGATGACAAAGGTGTGTGACTGGTGCAAACATGATAATCATGAGATGCGTGTCATGTAAACACACGACTACATGCCACGCTCATGATGCGCTGGCGGCCGTTTCGCTAGCTTCAGTTACACCAAAGTTGATATTATGAGACGTTAATGGATGACGAAGGTATGATACCGGCGCAAACGTGATAAACATGAGATGCGCGTCATGTAATAACATGACTACATGCTACGCTCATGATGCGCTCGCAGCCGTTTCGCTAGCTTCCCATGTACCAAACTCGGTATTACGCGACGCGAACGGACGACTTAGGTACGTGACGCATTCAAACATGATAATCACGACATGCATCTCATGTAACAATATGACTATATGCCACACTAATGATGCGCTCGCGGTGAATGAAGGACGAAGGTAAACGACGCATCCGAACATCATAATCATGACACGGAAGTCATGTACGGCATCATTTACCTCCATCTCGTAACGTTGTGCTGCTTTTAAAGTAACACATCAACATTTCTCATTCGTGCTTCGCATATCATCGATTCCCACTGTACGTGGGATCTGCCCATTTCTTTTAACGTAGCCCTCCTCCCACCAGCATGGAAGTTCTCGGTAATACACGACGCCGAATATAATATGTATACAGATGACATCACGCTTTGAACAATGCACTTTGGAATCTGCTGTTGAGAACAAGCTTTGCAAGAGGCACTCGACATAACCCAGAACATGGCGCACCAAGATTGGTCTCGAAATCCCAAGAAAAAAGTTCATGGCGGTGGCGAACAAGTATGGGCGTCGTACTCTGCAGTTAATTTTGGATCAGCAGCCGCTACACGAAGCATCACATCTCCACGTGCATGGCCTGAAAATTCACGCCACGCAACGGTTCAGTGACTGGCCAATGTTTTAAACGCATGTTTAATTGAAAAAGAATCAGTCCAGTCTGAAGCCTTTTCGGTTAGAGTGAAAATAACTCGCAAAGTTGCTGGGAAAGTTGGAAACAGAAACTTTATTCACTAAAGCATATTTATCTACACATCACAGTGAAAACAGAGAAAATCAGCGTGCCCCTAGGCAATACTAATTTTGCAGTTTGCAGTGTAAGGTCCACTTCGTAAAGGAAGATAAAATATGGAAGTTGATGCGCTTGCTAGTGGCTATGTAGGATGCCTACTTTCTCGAGAGTACGAGTGGTCTTGGCCATTCTGGGAGAGCAAGCACTCTACCAACCGACTCCCTCCTTTACAATCGACTAAGCCCATCACTGTTGTAATTCTCAAAGCAGCTGAGTTCTGGTGTGTGTTTTTTTTTTTCGACAAGCTTCACTCTCACTTCTTTGGATAGTAATTCATTGGTTCTCGCCTTTCCACTTAAATTCCCTATCGCAGATCTCAGTAAGGCACTTCTCTCCTCCTTTTCGCCAGGCGTCCCCTAGCACGGCTTTGACCCCTCCCCCTGTCGTTCTTGCGAGTTTCAATATCACCATACCACATAGCCCCGTGACAAGTGTTACAACTGCGTTACAAAAGGTTGCCTTACAGCTGGTTACCATGATTGCTGTAGCAGTACAATACAGTATCTCCTAGATAAATGTGATGTTGTTTATGAAAACAACACCGCTATTGTCGTGGCTATGCACTAAAATTGCACAAAACTGTTTGCTAATAGACTGCAAAGATTCTACTGACGTACTTGTGCTACGCAGATATCGTTTGAATTAGAACACGTGTGTGTTTTTCCGCGGTCGCTGGATACTAATGTAAGCGAAAAATAGGAAAACTTGGATTTTGTTATTAAACATATCATACTACAGCCAAGCGACGATATTTTCATTCTCTGTAATAAAAACAGTACTCACTTACAAATATCGCTATTTTATTGCTTCGGAACGTTTAAAGTAAGCAGTATACATACTGGCGCATAAAGCGTAACACAAAGCAGGAAAAACTTCGCTTGCTACATAATAGTTTAATAGAATGCACTATAGCACCCATTAGGCTGACCTCAAAGTTTTCTGTTAAATGAAACAGCTAATTTATCATTTACCTAGATTACCGCGTTCTTTCAAGTCCCTTCTGAAAACCAATATTACGTCGTGCAATAATTGATCGCATGAAGATGTTACACAGTATGTCGCGGCCAACACGCCATACACTAAGCGAAATAACATACCGAAGAGACACAGTGCAGACGTTATTGACGATTATTCAACGCCTCTTTGCATAAAACTTATGAAATGTGAAACTCATTTACACACACTCTCACACACACACACACTTAGTCGCCCCGCTCGGCTGCGCAGTCTATCTCCCGTCAAATGTAGCGGCATCGCTGCAGGGGCAAGGGAATCTCTTCGTGCCTGCATGGAATCGCTTCCGCGATGGATCCCCAGTCGCGCATCAGCACCGCGCAGCCATCGTCCGGCACATCGGTTCCCAAGGATCCCATGCGAGAGCAGCCAAAGACGCAGTGCTGGATGAAAAAGAGCACTTTGGGCGCCAGGTACATCTTAGGCAGGCCGTGGCCCCCGCTACCCGGCGTCCTCCGCCAGGCGAGGTACGCCAGTCGAGCGCCCATCGCCCGCTGTAGAGGCACTCCACTCTCCGCCGATTCGTTCAGTGGTGCCACGGGCTGCTCCATGAATGCCTACAGCGCGAGAGTCCACGGAATCGTAGTTACAAATTCTGTTTGGCAAGTCTTTTACTTTTCTTAGAGATACTGATCGATTCCCAAATACTGCCAATGTTTCCAGGCCCACTCTCCACCTCCACAGGCGCTGCTAGTGTCGCCAGCATAACATCGATTTCAAAGAATACAGAAGAAAAAAAACTGCTTGAAAAAGCAGTTTTCTCATTGAAGTTATTAAAAAGCGCAATATATGTATACGTATCGACTACAAGAGGACAAACCAATGGAATTGAAAAAGCAACAGACAAAGATACCACGAGCTCCTGCTGTACTAAGCGCAAGAACCAAAGCTGATTACGTGAAAGTGACAACAAGGCAGTGCTGACGCAAGTGTCTCCGAAATTGCCTGTATCTTGGGCTTGTATATTCTCTTGTGTTATGGCTCACATTGATGATTCATAAGCCTACACTAAATGAGAACAGCAGAACACCCACAATCGCGGCTGTATGTGCCGAAAACGCGTTGCGCAGCATCGTGTTTCCTAGTAGGGTGCTCGCACAGCCTACCGTTCATGCATCAGCCCTTTTATCCCACATATTTGTTCCCTAAATACCAGTGGACACAAATAAATGACCCTCACTACAGTTTCCTTTCGAGATGAAGGCTTGAAGTGATGAAAAATCGTCGGGCAGAATTTCGCTAAAGCAAAGATTTCGACAAGAGGACTTCAGCGCACGCGTACTCGACTAAGATGTGTTTGACGACTTCTCATCCTTACAGCCAACAACCACTGCACAATGTTCAAAACGTACACTTATTGGGACAAGTGATAAGCAAAAATAAGGCTGTACCACCTTTAGGTAAAAATAAACATAAATGAACAAACAAATAAATAAATACATTTTCCAAGTCGAGGCAGTCAGCAAGGTAATGAAAATATTTTCTTTTGCTAGTTGCGCAAAGTTACGTAGAAAATAGAGGAGTGTGGTGAGTTAAAACCCGTTTGTCGTTCAAAATGTGAAAGTCAACATATTGTTTTCAAGTGATACCCAGCTTTTGCGTTAGCTAAATTGTTCGTATGCCAACTCCTCATTTGCTCAAATCAAGTAGCAAAAGCCTACGAGCACCAGTATGATTCTCACCTTCTTCCAGGTCGCGCGAATGCAGTAGGCTCCGTTGTAGTCGGTTGCCGCCCTTTGGTTCCAGAAAGTGCGCCACCGCGCCTTCGCCGCTTCCATTCCCGGACTGGTCGAGGATGACAATTCCGCCACGGCGCCCTGGGCTAAGATCTGACATGCGAGGAGGAAGCCCCGCACAAAACACCTAGGTTACAGACACATTCCCGTGGAGGGTGCCAAAGCTTATAGCGAAGGGGTGCACTGTTCCCACGAGCCTTATTCGTTAAAATCAAATAAGTGTGGTCTGTGTGACAGTTCATAGCGTTGGTGTGTCACAGCAAGCCGTGGCATCAGCGTTTGAAAGATTTCAAAGTGAGGCACTTCAAATCATTCAAATATGAACCGAGAACATGCCATTTTATAACTTGTAAGGAAATACAGGTGAACTATAGCTTGTATGGATACATTTTGAAAGTACGTTGTGCGTAGACGCGGGAACATGAGAAATGTATTCACTGGCTCTTTCTTCTGCTTACGTATGGGTGCACCATTCAGTCATTCATGATATTCTAAGTTGAGTGTGCATAAGCGTCGTTGCCTAAACTTTCTCTATAGGCGTCAACCTTTAACGTACGGCCTGAAGTTCTCTTTCGTGATTGTGTGAGGCCTACATATTTTAAGACATTGCTACGAATTCACACTACATACTCACATCCAAGCGTTCAATGCGCTCATTTTTACTTTATTTCATTCCTTTGAGATTAGCTTCGCGGCCAACTTAAACCACTTTGTGTCTGCCAATACAGACTCTAAGCACCATCGCCTTTTGAATAATTGATTCGAATGTTATATCACGACGCATATTTTTGCGTCACAAAACTGATTGAAAGATGCGTAATGTGACACCATGATGTGTACTTTAATTGTATTTGGACGTATGCCTTGAAATTATCGTCGACATTATTTGCTTGACCATCACCATACATTAGGGGTGTGCGAGTAGACGAAATTTTAAATACTGCAAGTACTGTTTTCTATTTGACTCGATTCACACTAAGATCTTGCTGTTTGAATCTATTCAAACTTGCTGAAGGTAAATACAGACAACGTCGGAATGAGTGAAGCTGATTCCTTCAGATTTGCAATATTTTTCACTTTATAACACTCTCGTACTGCAGCAAAGCTGGCTTTCAATCTCTGCTATGGTTGAATTTATTACAGTCATCGTCCGATGGGAAGTGGCCCCTTCACAATTTTTGTACGCTTCACCTTATAACTTTGGGCATTGCGGCCAAGCTGCCTTTCAAGCTCCACTACTGTCAGAAATATATTGACTCGTGAAAACGCTGGTTCCAACATGGAGAGCACAGTGGGGGGAGGGAGGGCTCAATTGATGCTGCTTTGCACCTGTAATTTAGGCAGGAGGGTTACAAATGTGAGGCCGAAAGTTTCTAGCATCCAAACCTTCAGATGCTCTTATATAGTGACGTCAGCGTAAGATATGGAACTCCTAACTCAAAAGGAGCACACTCTTGACCACCACATCAGTTGAGCGTCCACAGAAGTTGAAAGAGGAGGAGAGGCTGAGTAAATAACATCTTTGCCTTTCACCGGTAAGGAGTCATAACAACTATTTGGTTGCACATGTACATACATATACACACACTTGTAGATACATTAAATTCAACTCAACTGCTGCATTACCTCGGTCTTCATAAGACAACTAGGAAACATCACACCGCCAAAGCTTCATCAACCTAATGAAATGAAACACTTTCATGTTGTCATCTCAAAATAATACACTTTGAAATGCTATCCAAACATTTTTCGGCAATTTTACTTCAAAATATTCAAACATTATCCTCGAAATCTTCGAAAACAATTCGGTTCAACTCGCACTCACTATTCCATAATCGAGATCACTTCATACTCATTTTTTGTTATTCGCACAGCTCTACCATACTATATAATCAACGTTGTAAAAGAAACGTAACACGGCTAAAGGTGACAAGATTATGCACGTGTCATCTGACCCCAATATTATCTTGCTAATTGCAATGAGCTCGACGTCATTCATACTCCAACACAGCGTTGGACATCTTTCTTGCTTCCCTCTCCTTTTCTCTAGCTCCTCACCTGCCCCAGCGTGGCGTAGTTGTATGCTGAAAGTCCATCTTCGTAGAAGTATGGTGGCCTGAACCTCTGGTACAGCCTGATGGGCTGGTCTCCAGCGAGCATCATGGCCTCCAGCGCGGCCTGGACTAGTGGAGGCTGTGCGTGTCGGATCCTCAGTTCCCTCAGCCACACGTACAGGTAGTGGTGCCTGCTCACGTCTACTCCATCGAGTAAGTACACCGAATTGTTCTTCACTGCTGATGCCGGGTACTCCAAGGCGCGTCCCAGATCTGTCCAGTTCTTTCGTGCGTGACCCGGTTCTTGCGTAACCGCGACAAGCGTGTCCATTATCGACGCCATCATGTTGGCCACTTTGAGTAGACGCTCGACTGGTACCTCGAATTCAGCTGCAGAGGGCAGTCATTACTATCGCGTGAATAAAAAAGACACTAGATAGCTGCTAACATAACACTTGCGAATTTGCACACGTGTACCACGTGGACGATTTTTCTCACGTTGTGCTCACTTTACCACATGGCCTGCTATGCTGCTTGCGGTGTCCTTCAAAAGGGCACGGGGCGTTAATTTCTTTTTTGGAGATGTTTGTAAAGTTTGAAACCTGTAAGTGAGATTACTTTTATGTTATAAAGAGACATAATACTTATTCGTGGACCGATTGTGTGACAGATGTATTATCGTTCTTTTTTCTTTCAACTCCAAAGTTTCAGTCCCGCTTCCATTCTTGTGTCATTAGCATCTGATCACATGCACGAATGGAACTACATATTTTTCTATGCGATAAAGAGCATCTATCTATCTATCTATCTATTTATTTATCTATCTATCTATCTATCTATCCATCTATCTATCTACTTGTCTATCTCAAAATTTTGGGTCTGAAGAAGACACCTCAACTGTAAACGTGGCATGCTCGCAAACCTACGAGCGCCTTAAACGACGTGATATATATTGCTTCCGTATACTTCAAGAACAGAGACATGCCCTTCTTTTGTCTGTCTTTTTGTTGAGTGAACAGTTTTAAACAACTTGGTTTAGTTTTCATACTGTAAAACAACACAAATGCCTCCTAATGTTATAGTACAGTCAGGGCTATGAAAGTGCTCTATGAAAAATATTTTTGCCGCTTTGGTGTCAAGTGGCGGGCAATGCATGCGTACACTTGATGGCAAAATCAACGAAGCAGAGAGGGCGTCAATATCAGAATTGGTGTGTTGACGAAAACAACGCTCATTTCCAATGATAACGTCGTGCGCCTCTAGTTGAAATAACAAGCGATTGAGCCGGAGCCAACCACCTAATGCATAATATAAATAACCTTTGGTACGTTAGAGCAATGACGTGGGCACAAAAAGTGGAACACAGCCTAGGACAGCGAAGCGTTATGCGAAGTGGAGAAAGGGTTTCAGGCAGAAAATGTAATCGGCCAACGCTACACACGGCAAATTGGACATCAGTGGGAGAGGCCTTCGTTTCACAGTGGGCATAAACATAAGCTGGCGACGATCATGATGATTATGACCATCGTACAGCTACGCTGATCGCGGTATTTCAGAATGATCGAGATAACAGCGGAAGGCACGTAGCCGCATGATCGGCGATGTCTGTCAAAATGCGATATCGCAGCTTGTGATAATGAATGCGAATCGTGGTGTGATTGAACACTTAAGTAACTTGCAGTCTGATCAGCACGTTACCACATCTATTCACCCGATAGACTGAGCACCTGATAACCTAAACAACTACAAGCGAATAACCAATGAACTTGTTGCCGCAAGTTCTACTGGCACTGTATTCTTCATTCTGTATTCTACAATCTGCATCCTTTTTTCTGCATTCTGTAAACTGCTTCATTTTTCATCTGTTGCGGCATTCTTGACCATGGAGTTTTCTATCCCGTGCGAAAAAGACTCCGTCAAGACAATTTGGACAATTTCAGAAATCCTCTTCTCCTGCAGCATTATTGACACCTGGATTGCTTGCATTTCTTTTTTGAGGACTCGTCCCTAGCTACTTCCCTATCAGAATGTTGCGTCTCACTGATAAAATTCATGTTGTTCATGACCCGCAAGTAAAGCGCACATTGATGGCGCGACAATAGGCACAAAGTAAAGATCACCATTGTGGGACAAAGAAACGCCCCTAATGTGTTATGCAACAGCAGAATGCCCCAAATGTACTCTTTCTTTTTTGAGTGATCATCACTGCCTTAGTGGCCCACAGTGTTTCGATATATGCAACTATGAATTGGCGTTTGGTGTAATATACTCTAATCGACAGCTCAAAATGGCTCCTCCTAGAAAAAAACTGATTTTTGTATGCTAATATACGTACTCAGGGTGATCGGCATTACGCCGCCAGGAAAAGTCAAAGTTTCGTCGGCGTACTTTTTGCAGACGCTTTCTTTCGTCATCTGAAACGGAAATAGCGGCACTGCATGAGTATAGTACCAGGAATTGTCTATGTCTTTCGGCTGTGCGAATTACACTATCTGGCACTGAAGAGAATATTTGCTGCTCTAAAGAACGTCGTAAACATGAAATACAGACACGCACACGCACATGTTTTCACGGTGTATTTTCTCAGCTGACCGCTGACAGCAGCGTCTGTGTAGCTATGTAAAGGGGTTTTGCTTTCTCTCTATTACAGCGCGTCCACTAATGAGCATAGCGTGCATGCGTAATTGGCGTAGCCAGGCGACTGGTGTACGAGATAAGGGGCGGGCATGACTGAAACATTTGAAATTTCTACACGTTATGTGAATATACATACACATGACACATACTAATAGCGCATGTGCGAACATTAAATGATTTCATTTATATGTGGGGTTTACCTTGCTCAAACTACCGTATGATTATGAGAGACACCGTAGTGGAGGACTCCGAAAATTTCGACCACCTAGTGTTCTTGAACGTACATCCAAACCTGAGCACACGGGACTCAGCATTTTCGCCTCCACCGTCATGTACGAACATTCGTAAAGGTAAATAGATACTCCCTCCCCGGCCCCTTCCTTG